CCCAGAAGAGGTAAGACGCCTCTTTCGGGTGTGCGATAAGCTCCTAAGACTGGTTTGGCAATGCAACTAATTGCCTCTTGTCAGGGTCCCTTTGAGGTCCCCTATCATAGGTTATTGGTTAGGATAGTTTGGGTTATAGATGGTATTGGATAGTGATGAGGAACAACTGAGGAATTTGTTGTTATTGTTGTTGAAATGGTTTCAGGTTTGTTGCTGGGAATGGGAGGCAGAGAAGGAGAGAGGCAGGGATGTTGGCAGAGCCTCAAGGTTGCTCTCCTGGGAAAGGAATGAGAAGGAAGAGGGAATGGGCAGGGAAGGGGGGTTAAGTGTGAAGGGGTTATATGTTTGTATTTACGTCTGTGCAGCCAATTCTGACAAACACTTGTCTACCTTGCTGAGCTTCTCAATAAATATTTTTATATAGGTTTTTGTGGGTTTTTTGGGCTGTGAGGCTGTGTTCTTGAAGAATGTATTCCTGACGTTTCACCTGCATCTGTGGCTGGCCTCTTCAGAGACGCATCTTCATTCTCTGAAGATGCCAGCCACAGATGCAGGTAAAACGTCAGGAATACATTCTTCTAGAACATGGCCTCACAGCCCAAAAAACCCACAAAAACCTTTGGATGCTGGCCATGAAAGCCTTCAACTTCAAATATTTTTTGGTTCATCCATGAAGCCTGGTTATTGAATCAGTTAGAGGTGCAGTTGTGGAAGCCAGATCTCTCACTCTGGATCTTTCAGATCCCTTCACACTGTGCCTCTTGGATCCCACCACACTGGGTCTTCCAGATCCTAAAATATATTGTGACCACCAGGTTCCACAGGATTCTTCTCCTTTCTTAACCTAAATAGTTTGAGGCTTCTTGTCCCTTAGAACTATCTTTCTAACCCTTGGTCCTCTCACCGACTTAAGTGTCACTGCTATTAAATTGTTTTAATACTCTTGGTGGTGTGTTTTGATATAATACATAAATCACTTCAGGCTGCTCCTTTGTGAACAAGAAGAAAATAACTTTTATTTCCATGCAGAACTTATGATAGTATCTTTCTTGGTAGTTGTACCTTGGTAGTTGTATCCAAGATAGTATCTTTCTTGATAGTATCTTTCTTGGTACCTTGTTACAGTATATACTTGTCCTTCCATTTTATTAGTATGTTCTCTCTAGGAATATCTAGGTCCTCCAGTGGAACTCTGTGGTCAACTTTAACCAAAGGTCACACTGAAGGACCTAGAGATTCCTAGAGATGACACTCCATTAGGCACTTGTAGCTCCTCCAACACAATTCAATGGTCAGTGTCTGGCAGATGCTGACCACAGAGTTGCACTAGAGGACCTAGAGATTCCTAGAGAGGTGTTCTATCAGCTAAAAACATAGGGGGGTTGCAGACTGCCAGAAATAGTGCAAATTGAGT